CTATAAGAGCTTTCGTATCTGGCTTATTTCTTGTAGTCAATGAAAAAAGACAGGTTTTATTGACTGAATGGGAATGGACTCGATACCATAGTTATCTCCAAGACATATAAGATATCTGAATCACATCGCTTTCCTAAGGAATCGAAGGTCTTTCAGGAGGAAGTTTTCACTATATTGAAGCTTAAAGAGGTCTTCAGGGATCTCTAATAAATATTAGATTTTCTATCGCGAACAAGAATGATATAGTTAATGATAGAAATTCTTAGAATAATTGTAACATTTAACACTTAAAACAGCATGATTATTTGACATTATTCTTATACAAGTTAAATAAACAATAATACAGAAGTGTCTTAAAATTTTTTGAATCAAACAAATCTAAACAGTGAATAGCTTCTTAAACTCTATTATATTTTAACACGAAGTTCTTTTTGTCTTCATATATAAGATGAAAGCAAAAAAAATTATTGAACTTTTTGTGTATTGATTAAGGAAACAACATTTTATTGTAGTCTTTTCATTTAAATATCAAAGACTATTCTTTGAACAATATTTTTTAAGAAAACGAATCACAAATTTTTATAAAAGATTGAAGAGAAACTGAATGGTAAACGTCTATATTTTTCTAATATGAATTCAAACTGTTTCAATCACCTTATTAAAATAAAGAATAATACAGACCTGAAAAGTTTTTTTTACATTTTTTTTCTCACCAACTATTGTTATCGGTCTTTTTTGTTAGAATGTGATTTTCTTATTTAAATAACATAAAAAAGTTTGTTTTAAGATCACAAATATTTTTTTATTTGCCTGAAATATTTAGCAAAATAAAATTTTGATATTCTCACATTAGAAAATGTAAAACAAAATGTGTTTTATTTAACAAAACAAAGCCTAATGCCTCAATTAATACTTACCTATTAAGCTGTTTACAACCCGCTTTAAGATCTCACTTGATACTCACAACTCGTTTTTTATAATATTTTTTATAAAAAATTTATTCAAATTAAAACTTACTCATATGCAATAATTACTCAAATTTTTTGAAGCAGGTTGCTGCTCAATACAATACAGGTAATTTGCTCAATACAAAAATTTTTTCCCAACATTTTTCTATACAACTGTGTATAGAATGTTTTCTGAATTTTGTTTAATAAACTGTCACATTTCCCAAACTCATTGTCATTCGTTTTAGCGCTGCATTTTGACTTAATATCAGTGCTGCCAATTGGGAATCGTTAAATTTCTCGAAAAATTACTTGAAATTTCCCGATTTGAGCCCTACTTTCTCGCAACCTAATATAGTAGATCAAAAATGGTTTTTCTTTGCGAGAAAAAGAAATACTAAAAAAAATTTTCTCAGACATTCATTCTTCATTTAATCACTTACTAAAATGAGAACATGAGGAGGTGGCTTGATTTCCTGAAAAACGAGATATTTTCCCCACATTGACAGCACTGCTTAATATTGGTTTAAAAATTGGTATGCTCTTTGCAAAATTACCCATGTTACCCCAACAAGCAAATAGCTATATACATACATAAATTTATCGATGAATAATTTAACAATATTAACGTCTAGAAATTTTATTAGAAAACGTGATATTCCATTTCACCAACATTTATCAATACTTCCGCTTCATCTAGATACATACATATGTATACAATGGTGGATGCTCAAGAAAAAATGTCAAAAAAATTATAATATAACCTCAAATAATATCATCCGTTAATTGTCACAGTTATTTTTATAATGTCAAATTCTCTTTCCATGTCTTCAATAAAGAAAAAATTATTTAAAAAATTTTATTCAAGGAATTTTTTCTTTAATTTTATGCAATTCAAGTCAAAACATTGAACTTATTTTCTAATATTTATTCATATCGTATAAGCCTAAGGCAATTAAGTCAATTAAATTAGAGATTTTTTTTAACTTTAAATTAAAATTTAGCCTTTAGAAACATCACGACCAGTAATGTCATTTTTAAAAATATTTGTGTATATATGTACATTTATATGTAAGTATATTTGTGAATTTATAAATACAAAAATATTGAGAAAAAAATTGTTACTTTTTCAAACATTTTAAATTTTTGTATTTTTTTTTTTAAGGTTGAGAACCGTGTTTTGATAGAAAAATGAAAAACATTCCCAAAATTTAAAAAAAAAATAATTTTTAATTTTCCACCATTTTTACTATTGATCTCGAAATCAGTAGAATTCGTACACTAATTTTACAGTTTTTTTCTTTTTTTTTTCTGTTAATTTCTAAAAATCATGTTTTGGGTGTTACGCTCTTATTGTTTGCATATACTATACAGTGTTAAGGTGTGTCATTTGAGTTCAATTTATAAAGTAATAATGTATTTCCGCACTCTCAATACTTTCTGAAAGAAAAAGTAAAAATAAAAAAAAAATTTATAATAAAATTAATTTTATTTTTTAAAATATTTTCGGTTTTTTTTTATAATAACGCGATTTTATTTAAACTCTAATTAAAAATGAGAATAAATAAAGTAAGTAGTTAAACTCAACTATGGGATACTCTGCATTTTAGATTCTGAATTCATTTTGTGTGACGGAATTTTTAAAAGAGCTGCTATTCGTAAAATTTATGAGTAGTTAATAAAATTGTACAAACAGCACAATTTTTTTCTCGGGGTACAAATAGCACAATTTGTTTCTCGGGAACTGGTTTATTTGGGTTTGAGTCAATTTGGGTTTTAATTACAAATGCTGTTCTGATGCTCATATAATCTAAAAAATATAAAGCAAAAAACGTGCCTCAATTTCTTTTTGAATTTTCTTCAATTGTGCTTGGAAACGAAAAATAGAAGTTCCTTAATGTTTTTTTTATACTGTCAATAATATTACAAATGAATCAACAAATTTGAAATAGAATTTTCGAATACAATATGTTATTTATAAACTTTATAAACTTGTTAAGATGGCTGTATGCATACGATTAGACGAATGTTATTTTAAAAAGTATGTACAAATATTGTCTTGTAATTTTGGGCGAATCTGATCCCTTTTAAATAAATATTACCAATAATATTGGCAAAAACTTGTCTTAGATTACTATACAAAACAAATTCCTGGAAGACAATTATGCGGTGTTATCAACGAAATGTCATATATTATAGGCTTGCGGGAGTTCCTATTTAAATTTTTCATAAATATTCACATAACATTGTTTCGCTTCAATAACTATTACAAAAATATTTCAAAAATAAACCATTATTCTTTTGATTGGAAATTAAAAATTTATTTGGTCAGTTAAAATTTTTTTCTTTCTTAAAATTGTTTCTCTATTTTTGAGGGGTATATTTAATAGGGTTTAAAATAAAAGCATTCCAAGCATTCATTGTTCTTTTTTAGTTGTTATTTTGTTCTTTATTTTATATTATTAGTACATTATTTTACTGTTGTGGGAGAATGAAATACTGTTGCATTTGCACTGACAATATAAAAAATTAAAGTAAAGTTGAACCTGTTGGAAAATAAAAATATTAACTATGGCAGTAATGAGTGAGACAAAAAAAAATTCGATGAGAATTAACAAACTAGTATCTCACTCACTCTACAACTTTTGCTCAATAACTTAAGCAAAGCTCTTAAAAAATTATTATGCGGGCATTCAATTTTGACAAAAAGATCAATTTTTTTTTTTCTTTTTTTGGAAATTCACAACACTAAAAACAATTTTTTGGCTTGAAAATAATGCTAACAAATACAATGAACACTCACTTTCTTTGTAACAAATAAGAAATTTAAAACCGCGCAGAGTGTTTAAACTTGGATAATTAAAATATTTTTATTAATCCTGATAAATTGAACATTATTTTTATTATTATTATCTCGAAATCCTGTAAATTTTCTATTTTAAAATTATTTTGTTCACATTGCATTATAAAATAATAACTTTCTCTACACATTTTTATAAAACATTAACTGATATAGTATAATTTTATTTATGAATCATTAAATTTGAAGATTCATCTGATCAGGAAATGCATATTATTTTTATTAAACTCTTTAAAAATTTTATACAATTAGTATAAAATAAAATAGCAATTTTTCTACTACATTATTAAAATTGCTTTCATTCATATACTGAAATATTTCAAGAATTGCATATATTTGGGATGAGCATCTATGCAATCTTTCTGGTATTGCTACAATAATTAAGCGGCATTTTTAGAACTTTGAGGGGCTATAACTTTTAGAGGGAGTGAGATAAGTGAAAATCTTCTGCGGAAATAAGTTTCTAGTCCTATGTCTAAAGACCCATGTGTCTATAAATTTGAGTATTCGATTTTCAAGGATGTTGCAGTTTTGTAAGCATGTCCACGGGCGGACGGACGAACAGAGTTAAAATAATAAGTACTTTTTTTTCAAATTTTTATGGAAAAGTGCTAAAAATTAACATTTTGGCATATTTTGTACACCAACACACAATTATTTAAATATTTACATTATAAATAAATAAATATAACCTGATCCTTTTCAGGAAATGATAGAAATCTTAACCAACCTGTCTCTCTTAAATATAAATAAAATAGTAAAATGTAAAATTAACAAAATATTTTTCGAAAAATCTGAAAAATCTTCGTATACAAATTAAATCTTTTCAAATACAATTTAAATATTTTTGAATAATGTTTTTTTTTATTTGTTTTTTGATAAATTGGATTTGAAATTTTTACATTTTACATACGTCATGTACTTGCATAAAATTAAACACAACTTATTGCATTGCAAAACAGACGAGTTCATCTTTTCAATTGCCATTTTTGTTTGCTTTATGAATCGTGATTTTGCATATCAACAAGATTATCGCCATTTCTGTTTTTATTTTTACTATTTTTTTTTTATTAAGGTATTTCACGTAATATTCAAATTAATTTTCTGCATTAAAAAATAAAACAGCAAAATTGTTTTTTTTTTTTATTTGTTTTCTTAAAAAATTTTCATTTAAATTTTTTCATTATTTTCAGTTGTTGGTGTTCAATTTAACCCATTTGTTTGTTGTTGTTTTTGTTACAATTTGGCATAACAAAGTTGGTAAAATTTCATACAAATAATAAAGTTTGTGAATTGCATTCAAATTAGTTTGATTCACATACGTTGTTTTTGGTGGTTTGTTTGTTTTTCTGTTGATTTCTTAAAAAAGATCAAGACATAAATTTTTTTTGCATTTTAAATTTTTTTTAAATAAACTCTAATGAGGGGAAATGGAAATTATCTTGTATGCTAATATTTATGTACATACATATAATCTTTATTTGCTGTTTTTTTTTAAATCATGATTCAAATTTAGAATAATTATGTACACAAAATTAAATTTTGAAGGATATCTTAATGTCAAGAGAATTTTTTTATTAGTCATTCGAAAATAAATATTTGATTTATAGTTGTTGAAAAGAATAAAATTTTTGTTTGATTAATTGAGATGCAGGTAAAATCCAGGTAAAATTAATTATTCAATATTTAAAATCAATCGATTATAACTAATTTTATTGAAAATATAATCATATACATACATATACGTATGTACATATATGTATATATTTCCGAACCTACTTAGAATTGCGATTCACATATAACGTAGGCCAATGTTAACGTTTATTGCCTTTCCTTTTATCCACCCTGCATAATGTGTCTTGGTAAAATTTAATAAAATTTATATATTTTCCCTTCTGAAAAGCCCATTTCAAAATTTACTTGATAAAGGTGGATTGCATTAAAAAGAAAATAATAAACTTGAATTGAAAATTATAGAGTTCAAATTAAAATTAAAAGCAATATATCAACTTTTAATTTTTATATTTTTTCGAATAGCAGGTCTGTGCTAAGGCGCCTTTCTTTCGATGTAATAACCTCACATATTATAAGATAGTGTGCCGATGTCCTCGGTGCTCCGGCTAATTACGACCGATTTACAATGAGGTTGGTCGAGGTGCATCGAGGAATTGAAGCGAATGAGAAGACTAATGAGTTGTTGGGCCGGAGCCTTGCTTTGTGACGACGAGGATGGGAATGAACTGATCCAGACTTGAGTCTGGTGGTTGGGTTGTGCACTGGACATTGTCTCACCATGGTTCATTTGAAGAGGATGAGCAAGGTGGGGGATGATCTGAGTCGTCTGTGCTTAGAAGAAGATGACATGGTGAAGCATCTGCTTTGCGAGTGTAATGTTCCTGCATTCCCAAACGTAACAAAGTGTAAAAAATCTTAAAAAACATTCAAGCAAATTTATTCCAAGGATTATTCCAGTGAACTAAACAACTTTGGCTTCAATTAAAACCAAAGCAAGTACCAAAATATTTAATAAATAAAATTGGGGATTAAAAAACTAACACAATAAAAAGTGTTAACATTGTTGAGTGTTTGTTGTTATTTTACTTCAGTTTATGTAACAAACAATTTAACAGTACGATAATAATAAAAAATAACTGTAAAATTCCAATCGATAACTCTTATTTATGGTACTTTTCCCCGGTATTTCAATTTTTGTATTCAACTGCAATTCACTCTTTTCAATTCACTAAAAAAAAAATTATTTTTCCTATTTTTTAAATTTCAAAAGATGGTTAACTTTATCTCATTATTCAAGATTATTAGAAAACTGTTAAAATAAAAATTATGTAATTTTTCATGCATTTTCTTCCCAAGTCTTTTTTTTTTTAAATTTTTCAAATTTTTGAAATTAAAATTTCAAAAGATTTAGTCGATAAAATTATGCAAAATATTTTTTGGATTTAAAAATTGAATCTCTGGAATTTTTTTTTTCGTAAATTGAAAAATTTTGCAGCTCGTTAGAATGCAAATTGTAAATTATAAAATGGAAAAAATGAACAAGTGAAACAACAAAAATTGTTTCTGAAAACAATTGCATTTTATTAAAAGGAAATCAAAATTTGAAATCGTTTATAATTAAAATTTACTTGTCGGTTTACTTGCTGTATGGATTACGTGTTGTATCAAAGTTCAAAGTAAATTTTTTTTTGTGTTAAATATTTGAAATAAATTATATTAAAAAAGAATGAAGTAGAACGGTTAATCTCAATTGGTATGAGAAGGGACGATATTTTTCATTTTGCTTATATGCTATAGATTTGCTAGTATACATACTCTTAAAATTGTATAAATTTTTTACACAATTCAATAACATTTAACAGTGCTGAATTAGTAAATTTTTTACAATTTCCACATTTACAATAAAAACAATCTCATTTTTCTTATTATTTAACCTTATATAATTTTGAAATTTTTCTTAAACTTATTTACCAGTTTCCTATTCATTTAAATCTTTGTTTGTTTGTTTTGATAATATTTATGAATGCGTTTCGACATTGAAATCCTACATCGTGTCCAAACTAATCCTTTCAATCTTCTGAGAAAAATAATTATCATATGTCTAACTTTCTTGTGTACCGTTATACGAACATAGTAATATCGAGATTATGACAAAAGTATAAAAAAATTCCATTCCATAAAAAGAATAAAAAACTTTTCCTCAGCTACTTAATCGGAAATTAACCTTGTCCTTAGTGGGCATGATTTTCTGAACTCTTAACATTTTGGAATAGATTTTGAAAACCATTTTCGTGTTTAAGAATTCAAACTTACTTAAATTACGTCCCGTGTTCTTAACTGCTGTGCTAGAATTTAAAAAAATTCAAAAAGAATGGCTAAGATATCAAAACACATCATATTAAATTACTTTATTCAATTAACATGCATCACTCGTTCTTCCTGAATTTCTAATACACACATACATTCTACGTGGATACAAATGCATAAGTATGAATTATGTTCATACCAACTTTAGTATTAAAAATTATTACAATTGAATCACGCAAATATTTCTAATATTTTACTCCATTATTCTTAAATTTAAAAAAAAAAACCCCAAACTGGCGCCAAGGATTTTTCTATCAAATTTATTTTTATTAATCTTTAGAAATTCTTTTATAATGTCTGACTAAAACATATTACTTATAATAATGAAAGAATCCATATGCCCACATAATTATTAAAAATTTTTATTCACTTTAGAAAAAATTCCTTAAATATTTAAAAAATAAAAAAAATATGCGATTAAGTGATTTTAAATCAAAATGATTTCAAAAATGCCATAATCTTAAATATATCGCAATTTACCAGTCGCATCATCAAGACTTTATTAAAAATCAACCGATTGTACGTACAATGCTAAAATTAAAAAAACTTTGTGTGTGTATTTATTTTGATGGAAATCACATTCAGATCAATGACACCTGTTTAAAACCCATCATTATTATATTAAAATTTATTAAAAATAAAATTAAAATCAAAAACAAAAAAAAAAATTTTCTATAATAATGATGTATGAATGTGTGTAACGTATGTTTGTGCACTTTGTTTTTGTATAAACAAAAATAGCGAATGAGATAGAGGAAGTCAATCTTTAAATTTACATCTTTTGATACCATAAATACATCATTAGACCTATACTTGTACAAAAATATTAAAAATAACATAGAACAAAAAAAAAATCAAAATCAAAATAAATTATGATCTAGACGTTTAGACATCAAAAATTTTTAAAAATTAAAAGAAAAAATTGCTTTGGTTTTTTTACTATTTTTTCTATTGTGGGATGACATAGGGATTCCAAAAGGCATCATAATGATTCAGAAAAAGAGATTTCCGCATGTCCAACAAAACCTCTTAATATCTATATATATAATGCATCATATACAGCAGAGATCGGCACCCTCTTTCTAATGATGCATCATTTGTGAAATAAAACTTTTTATACGGGCTGCATATTTAAATGCAATTTAAATATTCTTTCAAGTTTGATTGTGTTTGGGATATTAATATCACACTAGCAAATTGGCGAATTGAAATAATGCTAAATGAGCCGTCCTATTCGCTAAGAAGTCGTACTCGGGGACTAGACTTATGCAGTAAAATTAGTTTTCTGATATGTGTTTCTGATTCTGACAAAAATGTGCGCTTCTGTTAGCACACATTTTTGTCATTGGTCACTTGTTGATTTTTCCTAAAATAATATTGATACTTTAACAGGCCACGTAAAATATCTCAAAGGGCCTGTGGTCCACGATCTGCACGCTGTCAACTCCTGATATACAATCAAACTTACGTGCACGCAACACACCACATTACAGAGCTGCGGTGCGGTATGTTAAAATCATTCAAAGAAAAAAATTTCAAATACAGCAAATAAACACTCGCCACAAAATAAAACAAAAAAATTAAATCGTCAAAAAATGGAAAACAAAATTAAGAAAATTATAAAAAAAAAACATAGTAAACAAATTAAAAATACTAAACAAAAACAAAGAAAAAAAAATATGAGAAAAAAAAACACAAAAATTACATTCCTTGTTATTCTTTTTGTTCGTTATTAAAAAATATGAAGTGTGCTGTGGCTGTTGCACGCTAAAATAGCCCCATTTATGAGGTGAACATGACAAGAGAAGTCACGACTGGCCTTTTATTTTATTCATTTTGCTTCTTTTTTTAAATTTTTATTATTTCCAATAAATTCTTTTGAATTTTGTGAAACATTTTTTTTTTCTCGTTAAAATTTTAAAATTTCGTTAGGTCTACATTACCAAGAGTCAAGAGAATATTTAAAAATAGAATTCTTTTAATGAAAAAAAAACATTCCCAGAATCATAATAATATTGTAAAATGACTCATGTTGTTCGTGGTATAATAAAGTAGGACCTTAGAAATGTTATTTAAAAAATTAGTTTTTAATAATTATTTATTTTGTGATTAAATTACTTTGTTTTTAATTTTCATGAAATTGAGCAAATCTTAATTAGATTTAAACTTGTAAAACAAAAATTTTAAGGTGATTTCATTATTTTGATTGCATTATCAAAGGCAAAATAAAATATAGACTTTTTTATAGGTAATTCTTTTAAGGTTACTTATGATTAAAAAAATCTTGAAAATTGTCTTATAAATTAAAAAATCTTCTGGAACACTTTTGAAACGTAAATATTTTTGTTAACACTTTAACAAAAATTTAATTTTTAGACTGAACAACGAAAATAGCAAT